AGCTATTTATATATATATATATATATATATATATATATATATATATATTTGTATACGAAGTATGCATCACTAAAAATATAATGACTAATCTATGTTGTATTTTTTCTTCTAATTTAATTTATTTCATACTAAAGATTAAGATTCAAGGCCTCGTAAATCAAATGGATTCAAAGGCTTCTCCTAACATGAGAGAGAGGACTATATGATTTTAGACATATGAGTGGTTTAGCTTGAGGTTCTAATATCTCTTCGTTACGTAGATGATATACTACTCGTTTGAATCATAACATTTTATGTTTAAAGTTTTTTACAATCCTTAAAAATTATTTAATATTGATATGTTAAGTGTAAAATACTCTTATTTAATATACTAGACTTGTGTCCGTGCGTTGCACGGAAAATAAATTATTATAGTTAATAAATTTTATTTTAATAATTAATATATAAAATTGTGAAAATTAATTAAACTTAATGTAACATGAAAAAAAAATTGAATATACAAATAAAATGATAATGATAAATGATTCATTTAATGGAATTTCATCACTATATCCATCCTCTCCATGTGGGAACAGAAGTGGATAGTGCAGTGGTAAATAAGCAAAACTCACTACAGAAATTCGTTACAGGTATCCTTGTTAAGTCTCTAAAATGATGTCTCTCTCACCATTATCTGCATCAAAATCATCCACAACTAAAGCCACAACCTTAGACGCAGTTGGAAGATTATACCTCCTACCATCTTTTCCCCTTTTTCCTATTATTCTCAATTTCAAGCTGCATGCATTACTTTTCTTTAGATGATCTTGAACCATCCTATATGTTTGAATATAAGGATTATGAGAGTCAAACATCTCTTTAATGTTAGACACTATTTCTATATGTAATGGATTAGAATTTTTATCCATCCTACAATATAATGAATAAAAAAATATTTAAGATAAGAACTCAACACATAAATTGAGAATGGAAATTTCAAAAAAAAAATATCCAAATGTATCAATAATTACCTAACAACAGAAATCCTGTTATCAACTTCATTTTCCGTGTCATATATGTACAATTGAGAAAATTTGGGTTGCTCTCCTGGATTAGGAAGCAAACTACCAATTCTATGGTAATTCTCACCACTTATGACAAAAATTGGAGGACCTGATCCATTATTTAACGATCCATTTATCTTACCCCCCATAGAGATGAATGAAAACATCATGTTAAATGATCTAATATTCTCCAAGAATAGCTTACTCTTTGTGTCATTCTTGAAGTAGAGATCCATCAAAGATTGAGGTGCAGGCAACAAATCAAGAAACTTTATTTTACCTTGCATGCAACACAAAGAGAATCTAGGGTTTGCTGGATTATAACCTTTTTGCACTCTCTCAGAATATCACATCATTGCTCAACATTCTTGGCATTCACAAGTAGGATCACCAATATCACATTAAACTATTTATTATTATTATTATTATAAAATAATAATAAGTCTTCATGTAATAGATTAATGGTTAAAATATGAAACTTAAAATAGAATACAATATTGAAGACATACAATTGATTATTATTATAAGAAAATAATAAGCCTTCATGTAATAGATTAATGGTTAAAATATGAAATTTAAAATAAAATACAATATTGAAGACATACAATCGATAGTGGATGCATCTTCATGTATACCATCAATGAGTACATTTTGCTCTGAAGTTCTGATTAATCTACCATTATTCCATATTAATTTTTGTGGTCATTTCCCTTGTGCATGGTTATTATGATTTGATTCACATTCTTCGAACATGTCATCAAATTCATCGTTTTGATTTGATGTGTGGTTTGCTCTTTGGCTAGATAACATCTTAATTATAAAATAACAAAACAAAAGGATACTCAAATAAGAAATGGTAAATATAAACATTATAAAATTAAATAATATAATTATATTAAAAGAAATAAGACTCCATAAATTACCATTTGTGAAATTTGACAATGGAGATTGAGTAAATTGTTCTGTCATACATACACCTCTTCTAATAACTCTATTTAACACAATGTTAGATCGATGTACATTATGTGTGCTATCATTAACTAAAAAAAAAACTAACCTTGTAAATAAGTTTCTCCATAAATATTTTTTAGAAATAAATAATAGATAAAAAAAAATTTGTTTAGTACTAACCTGTTAATCTGGCAATTGTTACATCAGAAGATTCAGACATATTACATCGACGTTGCATATGTGCAACTTTACCAAATAATAGTTTATTTCCAGCAAAAGAGGGGGAAACATTTTGACTGTTGGCACCTAGTAATAATGATAACAAAATATGAATAATCATTAATTTTCAAACATATAAATATAGAATGAGACATCTTTTACAAAATTTAATTTTACCATTAGTAATATCCGACAATGGAATGCTACATGCATAATTCTACTTTATTAGATGCACTTCCTCCAATAAAATCATTTAGATAATGCTCACGGGAATAATCACTTGGAATATTATTTCTTGAAATTGTAAAATACACACTTATATATTAATTACATTTTAAAGTGCTTTATATAATTAAATACTTTGACAGAAAAATATTTTTTATTGTTAATATGTAACATTGGGACATATTATCCCTCACCATTGGTGACATTTGAATGACACACTTTGACACATTTATTACGATTACAATATTGAACATCTTAACTGGATGATTTTGATTTATTTCATTTTTTTTCCAACATTATCATCCATAATATTGCTTGTTTTTGAATACTCAAAATTCGAAGAAACTAAAGAAAATATTAAATATCTATTATAAACAATTTATAATATTTAGCATTGAAAGAAAATTTAAGAATTTCAACCTGTCAATAAATAAAATTATTTATTTATTTTCTTAAATGACTCTCGCTTTGGAGTCAAATCTAAAAGGATAATATCACCAGGAGGGTATGTAGTGTACTAACAAAAACTAAATGCCCACCTATTAAGTTTCTTTTTTTCCTTTTTAAATTAACAATTAAAATCTTTCAAACAATCATAAAGAGTTATACAACAACCCTTTGTCTTTTCAATATGAATCAAAATCATAAACATT